TGATAATGTTCTTCTTTTTTTTTCTTTTTTTTTTAATACAGAGTCTCACTCTCTTGCCCAGGCTGGAGTGCAATGGCACGATCTCAGCTCACTGTAACCTCTACCTCTCGTGTTTGAGCAATTCTCCTGCCTTAGCCACCTGAGTAGCTGGGACTGCAGGTGTGTACCACCATGCCTGGCTAATTTTTATACTTTTTAGTAGAAACAGGTTTTCACCCTATTTGACAGGCTGGTCATCAAACTCCTGACCTCATGATCCACCCACCTCAGCCTCCCAAAATGCTGGGATTACAAGCATGAGTGGTAAAGTTCTTAAAAGGAGCAGTCAGACCCTCTAGATCCATTTTCTAGGTCTGCATAGCCAAGTGGCTATCTCTTCTACCTCCGCAAAGGCTGGAAGTTTATTCTCTGGACAGATTGAACCAGATGGGCTCTGGTCTCAGGTTCTTGAGGTATATCTAAAAGTAGGGATAAGACATGTTATGCCAAAAACAGGAATTAGGAGAAAGTTGACATGCTGAAGGGTAAGACTCCTATCCCTCTTCCTAGATATGGCATCCAGGCTTATACTCTCCAGGCAGGAGATTAGAGATTTTTCCCTAGGGAAACTGACCAACACAAAGAGGAGACTTCCAGATATTGACACTTGGAGTCCCTTTACAAATCACTTAGGTCACCCTCAATATATGCACACCAGTCAGCAAGGCTCTTCTATGAGCCAGAGCTTCTAATAAGTGCCATGGTGCATTACTATGAAACAAATACTTAGTTTGGGCCAAGGGCCTAAACTGAATCCTACTTTACTCAGGCAGTGCTTTATCATATTTCACATCCTTAAATTGTTTCCCTTGCTTTAGACAGTAATGGTAATGGAAGATACCTGTTTTAGGTCCAAAGATAGATCAGACCGTAGTGAGTGGATGAATCAGAATAAGCATTACTGCCACTGGGAAAAACAAATATCTTAATTCAGTGGCATTATACTTACATAAAAAGATAGTACTCAATTACAGATAGATGGCTATTGATTTCAGACAACTGACTTGCATTTTCCTTTTACTTTGGTTCACACAAATCTTCTGCCTTACCAGTATCTCTTCAATATAGAAGAATTTTTAGATGCAGAACATGGGTCAGATTTTGCTTTTTTCATTTTGGGATGAATTTTCTTTTAAAATTTCTTCAAAATTAAGCAGATAATTAACAAGTAACGGTCTGAGTGTGGTGGCCTGTGCGTGTAATCATAACGCTTTGGAAGGTCAAGGCAGGAGGATCACTTGAGCCCAGGTTTCAAGACTAGCCTAGGCAACATGGCAGAACCCTGTCTTTACAAAAAATAAAAAAAAATTAGCCAAGCATGGTGGCACATGGCTGTGGTCCCAGCTACTAGGGAGGCTAAGGTGGGAGGGTCACTTGAGCCTGGGAGGCAGAGGTTGCAGTGAGCCGTGAGTGTGCCACTGCACTCCAACCTGGGCGACAGAGCAGGACTCTGTCTCAAAAACAAAAACCAGAAACAACAAAAGATGGGTACACTCAGTCAAAACATCAAAGAAGTCACTAGATGATAAGTTCTGTGGGGGTAGGGGTTTTGTCTATTATGTCTACTGCCATATCCACAACACCAAGGGCAGTGTCTGCCCAGTGGGAGGAGCTCAGTAGTTATTTGCTGAATGAATGAAGTTATCTAGGAATTAAGGGAAACTGTTTTCCAAAAATTACTTCGGAATACATCTGGAATTAAACAAAATTACAGAAAGCTCCAGAAAAAAACTGAGGAGAAAGGTCGTATATTCCAGCTCAGTGATTTTCAGAGTTTTCCTTTACTATCAAAAGATTTTGAAAAGCTGTGGGTACCCTCAGATATTTTTAAGTTGATTTTTAATTTCTTTTCCTCTTACTACTAAATTTAAGTAGTTGTAGAGAATGCTATTTTCAGTGTATGTTATACACTGACATTTAAAAAAAAGTTATTCCAACACTTTAAAATATAGCAAAAGGATGCTAATTACCATAGTAATTTGGTATTCAAGTATTTTATATGAAAAGTTCATAGCAAAGTATCCCCAAAATTGGGAATTTTACATTGTTTCTTCTAATTCTCAAATTTATGTATCTATTCTATCTCCCCTACAGAATTGTATGCTAATATATTTTGTTGACCACTAATCGTACTTTGCTACATTGAAAATATAATGTATATATAAATTGAAATTTTTTGTTTTTACTTCTTGTGAACACAAGGTTCTAAGTGCTAAATTTTATAGTAATCTTTTCCTGGTAATATTCTGATAAAAATCAATGAAATTGGGACTTTTATAGGTCAAAATAAATGTTCAGGAATAAAAATGAACACCAGAGATCATGAGTCATTTAAGGAAAGCCTTTATCCTAAAAGAGACCAACACGAAACAAACAGAATAAAGAATAAAGAGTAAGCAAACAGACCTGGCGTGGTGGCTTATGCCTTTAATCCTAGCTCTTTGGGAGGTCGGTGTGGACCGATTGTTTAAGCTCAGGAGTTTGAGACCAGCCTGGGTAACATGGCGAAACCTTGTCTCTACAAAAAACAAAAAAATTATGTGGGTGTGATGGCATGCAGCTGTAGTCCCAGCTACTTGGAGGGGCGGAGGCAAGAAGATTGCTTGAGCCTGGGAGGTGGAGGTTACAGTGAACTGAGATCAAGCTGCTGCACTCCAGCACTCCAATGTGGGTGACAAAGTGAGCCCCTATCTCAAAAAAAAAAAAAAAAACCCACAAAAAAGACAGTGTTACACTCACCAAAACAATTGAAGCTCAAAAAACAGGAACATTCCTAGAACAATGAGAAATTTTTGAAAATTTAAAATTTGTTAGATATAGTGGAGGAACCCTCCAACAAAGCAAAGTAAATACATAAGAGATGGGACATAAAAGAGAAACATAAAAAAAAATAGAGTATATGCCTCGGAGGTCAAATATCTGGCTAATTCCTGAAGGAGCAGTAGAGAAAACAAAGTGGACAAATAATGAGATAGCTTCACAGAACTGAAGAACATACATTTTTAGATTGGCAGGACATCCATTGGTGGAGCTGGCTTCTACTGGCTCATGAGACCAGACTGTTAAACTTTCAGGAATTTTTGTAAGCTGATTGTTAAACGAAGTTGTTATTAAATATTATTTCTGATTTATTTCTTATTTTACTGTTACTTAGGCTCTTGTGGTTATTTGCATCTATTTTATCTATATGGCGTAAATACTATATAATAATGTGCTACTGCTCATTTTTTGACAACTGCACATTCAGTAATGTCACATTGGTACCTTGATCATAGGAGGAAGATTTACTCCACAGAAATCGGCAAGCACTACAAACCATGGCTTTTTTCCCCAGAGAAAAATTAAACCTTTACCTGTACACCAATGGATTCATCTAGTACCCAGTACAGTCAGTGAAACAGACCCGCACCGAGAGACATATCATTGGAAAATTTTGGAACACTGGGGATAAAGAGAACATTGTAAAAACTTTGAGAAAGAACATACATTTCACATGTAAAAACAATAAGTCATCATAATTGAATTAGACTTATCAATAATACTGAAAGCTTGAAGTCATTAAAATCATGCCCTCAGAATTCTATGAAAAGGGTGGTTTGCAATTTAGAATTCTATATCCATGTAATAGGGTGGAATGGAGACATTTTCAAACTTGTAAAGTCTGGAAAGATTACCTCTCATGTACCTTTTCTAAGGAAGCCTAGGGAGATGTACTTCAGTAAACCACAAAAGAATGGTACGTAGAATATAGTCTGACACTGGAGAGAGGCAAAGAGAGGATGATGGTAAAGGGAATTTGCCGAATGACTGTCCACTAGTCAGACCAGATGGAAGCAGGAGAGTGGAGGAGTCTAAGAGGAGTGTGTCCAAGGGAAAAATAAAATGGTTAGAATACTGGTAGGTACGAGTATATGAAGAAGAGATTGTCAGTTCTTTCCTAGTAGAGTTGTCAGCCTTCACTGAGAAGGTGACAGGTGAGCAAAGCTTTTGAAGGAAGTCAGGGAGCAAGCCATGTGGGTAGCAGGAGGAAGAATATACCCAGCAAAAGGAGTAGCCTGTCTAAAGGCCCTGAGTTGGATCTGATGCATTTGAGGGACACCAAGAAGGCCAGGGTGGCTGGACTGGGGTGAGCAAGGGGCAGAGCAGTTGGAAATTGGCAGAGAACGTAGGCACATACATAGGGCCATTCTGTGGCTTTGGCTTTAACTAGATGAAGTAGATTGTGCCATGTTTCAGCAGAGAAGTGACATAGTCCCACTTATGTTTTAACAGGGTCACTCTAGCTGTTCTGTTAAGAGTAGAATGTAGGCAGGAAGGTTGGCAACAGGGATATCAGTTAAGAGACTGTTGCAGTGATCCAGTGATGGCATTCTGTTTCCTGCCACTAGGATTTAATTTCTTTACTGTCCACTGATGTATCCTGAGCACTTAGAAGAGAGCCTCGCATGTACCAGGTCCTCTGTGAGTATTTGTTGTGTAACAGTGGTGGCTTGGATCAGGGTGGTAGCATTGGGAATAGTAAATAATTATATTCTCAATGTATTTTGAAGGTAGAGCCCAATAGCTTAATGGAGGATGGTCTATGGGCTATGAAAGAACAAAGTCAAAGATAATTCTAACACTGTTGGATTGAACAGCTTGCAAGAGAGAGTTGCCATTAAACGGTGAACCTGTGGGTGGAGCAGGGTTAAGGGAGAAGATCAGAAGTTCTGGAAGTGCAGATGTCTCATAGTTTCTCAAAGGAGTGTTAGCTGTGTCACAGCCGCTTGACAAGTACAATAGGGACTGAAAATTAACTATTTGAGTCAGCAACATGGAGATCATGAGTAACCTTGACAAGAGTAGTTTGGGTGAGATGGTGGGGCGAAAGCCTCTTTAGGGTGGGTTTAAGAAAGAGTGGGAGGGGAAAAGTTGGACAGTATGGAAAGGTGTTTTGAGGCGTTTTATTACAATGGGAGCTGAAAAGTGTGCTTTAGCTAGAGGAGTAGGTAGTGTTAGATTTTGTTTTTGTTATTTTTTTAAATGGGAGGAAAAAAATGGCATGTTTGTGTACAGATGGGATTGATCCTGTAGACGAGGGGAAACAGCTGAGGAAAGGGGAAGAGCTGCTTAAGTGTATGGGAGGAGTTGGGCGCCAGCGCACAGGCAGAGGGATTTGTCTTGCATGGGAGCACAGAAAATTACATATGTCCAAATGTTGGGTAGCTGTGCTGATGGGAGCTTTAAAAACGTTATCTTCTGCTAACTTCTGTTTGTCAGTAGCAAAGTAAGCAATGCCATTAGCTGAGTGAGCATGGAGGAGGGGAGATGAAATAGTCATGTAAGAGAATGGGAGTCTGGAAAGACTACGGAAATGTAGCAGTAAGTGCCCTGCAGCATTAAGGGCCCACATAAACGTCTTGGCCATAGGTTTAAAGTGAGCATTGTATGATTTTCTACAGCTGTGGAAAAAAACGAATGGTACAGGCCTGGAATAGGTAGAGGTAAGCCTAACTGGAGGTTATGGTTTTTCCAAGCAAGTACCACAAAACAAGAGAATTCAAGATTGTTGAGGATGCATGCAATAGAGTGATTTAGTGATTTCATCTTATGTGGAAGGAAGGAAGAGAGGACATGATGAGAGTGTCAGATGTCAAGAAATTGGTAAAATCAGTGGATTATAGGTCCTGTGGGGGTTGAAGGATTGCCAAAGTTGGGATGAATAGAGGGAGTGAGCAGGAAAGATGGGAGAGAAGGTGGTTGGAGAGCGTGATGGTCTACCCTGTGACTTAGGCGTTGTAGTTGTTGGTAATGATAAGGTGGAGGGTGTGACTGTGAAATAAGCAGCTGAGGTTGACAGGAGGTTAGGGAACTAGTAGGAGGCTATGATGCTGTAAAGAACATCTCTAAGGGTTTTGAAATTTCCGAGCATTAGGAGAGGTGTAGTTGGACAACAGTGACACTGAGGCAGGAGCTAAAGTGTGAAGACATCATAGGGAGTGACTGCTTTTAATCAGTGGGGAGCGTGGAGGGTGGAGATGGTAGGTGCTGCAGAGAAAGAGGAACTGCTTCAAACTGTAGATTGTCACAGATGCTTTGATTTGTGGTCATCACAAAGCTGGGAGTTAGCCCCCATCATTTTACCTTCGAAAGCCAGGGAGTCAGTGAGTCAGGCAAGGCTAGAGTCTAGGTTATGAGGTGGTGCTGGATCGTTGCTGAAAACCAGAGTGCCCAGGATTTTTTATTTTAGCTCAAATGAAAGGGAAAAAATAAGCTCTATTCGGCCCAAGGTTTATTTTTATGTTTTGTACTGAGGCTGTGAAAATTACTGTCAGGAGGAGTAATGGAAAAGCAGTGTTGCTTGCTGGACTTTCTTTGAGGGGAGCAGAAAATATTCATGTCCATCTAATACCATAGGTTAATAGTGAAAATAAAAATCACCCTCAACTAATTAATCTCTCTGGTCTCATGAAAGTCAAGAACATTGAAGTTTTTTATTCCATTTGTTTCAGGGATGAGACATTATACTTTTCCCCCAGACTAAAAAAAATTATATCCCCTTGATTGTTGAACCATATGATAAGTTTGAATATAGAGGTTTAAAAAATATATACTGATAGACAATTGACATTCTTTCTGAGAAGCTGTAGGAAAGTGAAAAGTAAAAAAATTCAAAATGTCATTCTACAACTATTAACATTTTAGTGTATTTCTGCCAGTCTTTGCTTTAAGCGTTTCTGTTTTCTTTGTGTTTTTAGCTGTATTATGTAGACAGTATCGTATCCTTGTTTTACTTACATGCTAAACGATTCACCTGTCGCTGTATAATCTTTGAAATGGTAGTTTTCCATTAGCTTTTTGGTTTTTCTTCCTGTATAAACAGTACTGTATGAATGTTCACAGATTTTTCTGCGTGTAGAAGTGAGTCCTTAGGGTAAGTTTCCAGAAGAATAGAAGTACTTGTCAAAGAGTATTAAATTTAGCTTTGTGGCTGGGCACGGTGGCACACGCCTGTAATCCCAGCACTTTGGAGGGCTGAGGTGGGTGGATTGCTTGAGGCCAGGAGTTGAAGACCAGTCTGGGCAACATGGCGAGACCCTGTCTCTACAAAAAAATAAAAAAATAAAAAAAATTTAGCTGGATGTGGTGGCATGTACCTAGCTGAGGTGGAAGGATCACTTGAGCCCAGGGGAGGCAGAGTTTTCATTAAGCTGAGATTGTGCCACTGCCCTCCAGCCTAGGCAACACAGCAAGACCCTGTCTGAAAAAAATAAAATAAAATTTAGTATTTGTTACAGTTACGAGAAATAAGTGTTCTGTCATTATTTTCAAAGATAAGTGAGATATATGACTCGGTCTGTTACTGATCTTCTAGATACTGGTGTTTCTGCAGGAGTATAGGTAGCTAGTTTCTAAATTTAAACAAACAAAATGGGTAATTTATTTGTGAAAAGGCTTGCTGGAAGTTGGTTATCCCAAGAAGAGTCAGAGAGAGGCTGATCTGTTCAGGGTTCTCTGTTCTCTATAACTCCTCCCTAATTCAGTCTAATGCACTTATTTGGGGAAAGTAAGTTCTTGACCTTTTTCCCCAGTTGAGCTGTTATTACAAAACAGTAGAAATAGTTGTCATAAACTAGTTATACTCATTTTAAACTTGTTTGTAGAGTCTTTGTTGACTTTTCTAAAGTGGGGGCAGGTTTGGTAGCTCATGTCTGTAATCCTACCATTTTGGGAGGCCAAGGCAGACAGATCAGTTGAACTCAGGAGTTCAAGACCAGCCCAAGCAACATGGTGAAATCTCATCTTTATAAAAAATACAAAAATTAGCTGGGCGTGGTGGCATGTGCCTGTAGTCCCATCTACTCCAGGGGCTGAGGCATGAGGAACGCTTGAGCCCGGGAGGTCGAGGCTGCAGTGATCTGAGATCATGGCACTGTACTCCAGCCTAGGCAACAAACCAAGACCCTGTCTCAAAAACATCCCCCTCAAAGCCCAAACATGTTTCTAAAGTAATTTGTTGTTTTCCATTTTTAGTTATATGTTTTGCTTTTTAAAAGTATTTGTGGCTGGCCAGACTTGTAGTGTGTGAGAGAGAGTTCTGTCTCAATTCATTACCTAGGTTTTAATGTGTATGTAAAGAATGAGTTGTTCTTAGACATGTATTTGTCAATTTAAAATCCAAGACAGCTTTGTGTACCCACTAACAAAGCCTTCCTCACTGGCTCTTTCATTTAGGTTCAAAGACACTATCATAAATGCCAAGTACGGAGGGCACACAGAGGCGGTCCGCCGGCTGCTGGGTCAGCTCCCCATCAGTGCTCAGTCTTACAGTGGTAGCCCCTATCTGGATTTGTCTCTCTTCAGTTATGATGATAAGTGGGTATCTGTCATGGAGCGGCCCAAGACTTGCGGAGATCACCCAATCAGGTACAGTGTCTCTGCTATAGCTACAAACTGCTCAAGGGCTACAGATGGCCTGCTTTCTTCTTTTCTTCTGGATATCATTTCATTGTGACTGTCTCCACTTGTACTCATGGGTGGGACTGAAAAGGCAGGCTATTTCTATGAGGCAGTGGGTGCTTTGATCATTTAGGTACTAGTCTCATAAATTATTCCTACTCCTTGCTTCTCATCAGAACATCTAATTCAGGTAAATGTTGTCCTCTTTTAATGGTTTCCAGGGGAGGAAGCTGTGCTTTCCCATTTAATAATCTAATACCATTCCATAATAGTTTTTGGTCATTGAGACTTTATAATTATGCATCTAACACACATTATTTTATCCTACCATATTGCCTAATAGAAAAAATAGCAGAGACAATTTGGGGAACTGCTGGCAGGTTTAGGAGAAACTCATGCTTCCTCTCTTGGAGGAATTTTGGAGTGTAGACTACTGTGTTGTTGGAACTTTGAAACTGACCTCTTACAAGAAATTCCTTCCTCACAGACCCATCTGTCTCTCTGTGTATGGAACTGTGTGCTGTAATAGTACTAGGGGGAGGAGCTGGAATTACCGTCACTAGTGGAGTTACCTCAAGGTGGGTGTGTTCCTGGAGCTCTGAGCTGGAGCTTGGAAGGTCTTTTTGACATAGAAACAGTGGTAGTTAGAGCTTCATCATAGATATATTTCATCGTCCAGCCTCATTGTGTATTAAATGGGGCTGCGTGGCATATTCTGTATAATTAATCATCATTTATAATACTTTTTTTTGGGAAGTTAGTCAAGTTCCAAAAACTAGTTAATTTTTTTTATTATGGAAAGTTTTTAACACATCCAAAAAGTAGAAGAGGGTAATAAACCTTCATGTACCCATCACCCACTTCAACAATTATCAGCGCATTGGCACTCTCTTCTCACCTATTTCCATCAGCACCACTACTCACTCCCCTTCCAACCCCTGTCCTGGGTTATTTTAAAGGAAATCCAAGTTGTCCTAGTAAAACAAGTAACACCATTATCCCATCTTCAAAAAAATTAACAAAAAATTTTTAGTATCTTCAAATATATAGTCAGTTTTTATATATCCCTGTTGTCTTGTAAATATTCTTTTTATAGTTTATTTGTTTGCATCAGATCCAAACAAGGTTCATGCATGGCATTTGGTCGTTGTTCCCTTCAGTTATTTTTTTGTTGTTGTTGTTTTGAGACAGAGTCGCACTCTGTTGCCTAGGCTGGAGTGCAGTGGTGCGGTCTCGGCCCACTGCAGTCCCCGCTCCCGGGATCAAGCAATTCTCCTGCCTCAGCCTCCCGAGTAGTTGGGATTACAGTTGCCTGCCACACACCAGCTAATTTTTGTAATTTTGTAGAGACGGGGTTTCACCATGTTGGCTAGGCTGGTCTCGAACTCTTGACCTCAGGTGATCCACCTGCCCAGCCTCCCAAAGTGGTGGGATTACAGGCTTGAGCCACCCCTGTTGGCTCAGTCATTTTTGTTTTATAGGTTCTTCTTCCCTCTTTTATTTTCTTTGCAATGAAATTGTTGAAGAAACCAGGTTGTTTGCCCTCCAGCATCCTCCAAATTCTAGATTTTGCTCATTGCATCCCTGGGGTAGTATTTACTATATTTCGTATTTACCCATATGTCCTGTAAACTGGGAGTGAGATTTAGAAGCTCAAACAACTCACTTTAAATTACAGTCCCTTCGTGTTTGGGGATTGTGGGAGTAAGGCCATGTGCTTTTTACACATTAAAAAGATGGGCCTCATCTGATGTAAGTCAAGTACCATGAGATACATTTCTCTGTCCTTTCTGACTTTCCTAACTTTCTAATTGGAGAAGAGTAATCTAAAATCTGGAAATGCCATTGTGCCTGAATAAAGAGGTTTCTCTTATAATTCTTCTTTATATTTTTAATTTAAAATGAGAAATGTAAGGCTATTAAGGGCATTTGAAGAGAGAATACCGTTACTCCAATATCTTTATTGTATAATCCAGTCTAGTCTTTGTCAATATGCATATTTATATTTATATTTAAATAATGTTAACCGTGATTACAACTGTGTAAATATGAATATAAATTTACACAGTTGTAATCACGGTTAACATCATTTTTTGTAGTCTGTCTTTATTTTATAAACATTATTTTATGTTGTAATTATGCACAGTCCTTACAATTAGAGTCTTGATGATGGTGTATTATTCTGTCAAGTAGATGTACCATGATTTATTTAACCATTCCCCCATTACCGAGGATTTATTCTCTTTCTGCATTTTTACATTAAAACAAATGCCATAGCAGTCCTCTTTATTCATGTACTAGTTATTTCATTTAAATCAAAATTCTGAAGCTACAAATTCTTGGATATGGGATTGTGGAGTCAAAAGGTATAGATATCTTTAGGTCTGCTTATATATTGGATTTCCAAAAGGAGATTATAGGTCTCTTTAATTCAAGGCTTTTTATTTTCTAGAATCCTTCCTACCGCTCCATCCCCACCTGCCTCGCCACCCCCACCTGCCTCTGCCGTTCAGCCTCCACTCACTCATCATCTGTAGTTCCCCAAACCACAGGGCATTTTGCATATGGTAAAGACATTTAAGTACCGGGATGGATGGAAGCATCTTTAGTCTCGCGTATTAGAAGAAAAATTAAACACTATTTAGTATTTTGTTTCTATGCATGAAAAAGAACCTTTTAAAAGAATTTATTCTTAAAAATGAAAAACGTAAAAGATGAGCCTAGATCCACACTGTCTAATATGGTAGCCATTAGCCGTATGTGACTACTGAGGACTTAAGATGTGGCCAGTTCAAGTTCAGGTGTGCTTAAGTGTCAAATACACACTAGATTTCCAAAATAAAGAGAAATATCTCACTAATATTTTGATATTGATTATAGATTGAAATTATATTTTAGATATATTGGAGTAAATAAAATGTATTATTAAAATTAATTTCCTCTTTTTATTTTTACTTTTCTTAGTATGGCTACATGAAAATTTAAAATTACACATGTGGCTTACATTTCATTTCTAGCCCTGGCCTAGACAATCTTGAGGAAGGAGCATCTGGAAGTGGAAAGGCTGTAATTAAGGCTAAACCTGAGTCATCTCAGGAAAGAGAAATGACCAGTGACTCAGTACAACATAGTTAGATTTATAATTACTCCTCACTAAATGAGCTGACCATACCTAGGTGATTTTATAGTTCTGATAACCTGGGGCTGATATAAGAGGAGATTTCATTAATAAGGTAGAATAATGAGTTGCCATATTCCCCTGCTGTCTACGTTTCAGTTTGATGTTGAATATCAATACTGTCCCTTCTTTCTCTGTCTCTGTCCTTGTTCTTTTTAGGTTCTATGCCCGGGACTCCGGCCTGCTCAAATTTGAGATCCAGGCAGGGTTATTGGGCCGCCCCATCAACCACACAGTGCGACGCCTTGTTGCCTTCACCTTTCACCCTTTTGAGCCTTTTGCTATTTCTGTGCAGAGGACTAATGCTGAGTATGTTGTCAACTTCCATATGCGACACTGCTGCACGTAGGTGCCTCACCAGAGCCAGGTTTTCTGGTCTTCCAAGACTTTGTCACCCTCTTATCTCAGTGGACTCCAAAGCAAAAGCTCCTGACTACTAGCTTTGTTAGTTCCAGCCTGGTATACCTCAGATGGGAGAGAGCCAGAGAGAGGCGTGAGGGTGGCTCAACCTAATGGAATTTTTAAATTGTATACAATACTTTTATTGATTGATAGAATATCCTCTTGCCTCTTCCCTGTGGGAATGCCCAGCATTAATTAAGTCCATTTCATGTTTGCTTTACTTTGCATTTTATTGCTGTGAAGATGAAAGCATTACGCTTTTACCCCCTTCATGTCACTTCTTTGGCATTATGGTTTGCATCTGAAAAGAGTTAAATCATGTTTACTGATGAGAACTATGTACATCCTTCCCATTTAGCCAATAAGCACGGCTATCTTTATAAGAGAAAAATAAAGCCATGGTATTTTCATACTTAAATATATGTGGTTCAATGACTGCTTTATGTTCCTGTCATACCCAAAGCTCTTCAAGTACTTGGGTTCCAGGAAGGACCGTGAAAGAGATGAGAGGCCATGGATGCAGCAGCTGTTCCTGGGAGAACTAAGTGGTAAGTGCCAGCAGGGAGGACAGTTGTCTGCCAGGATTGTTTCCTTCCCTCGGGTTTTCTCTTGGTAATTGTCACAGCTGGAGGAACTGCGTGTAATTGCACATCCTCGTGTGGAAGCATGCTCCCATCTGTACCATCTGTGTCATGCAGGTGGAAGAGTGAGCAGCTCTCCGTGGCCACAGCAGAAACAAATACTGTGTAGCACGTACTATAATTTGGATAGTGGAGCTGGCAAGCCGCAGGTGTCCCTACAGAGACCAGACTGGCTGTTCTTGGATGGCTGAGCCATCATAGCCACCCCGTAAACACCTGCTGGCCCCAGCCACATCCTCTGTCACTTTCTCAGCTCTTGCCAGCCTGTTTATGTTTTATCTGCATAATGCCAGTAGTGTAGTAGGCTTGTTTAGTAACATCTTATTTTGAAGGTAGCTTTGAAATGTTGGGTTCCAGAGCAGACTATGAAAGGAGGCATGGATGCAAACAGCTGGACCTTGTATTTCCTCTGCCATCCAGACTGACTTTCTTTGGGAAAATAATAAATGTGGTATAAAATGCTGAGTCCCACCAAAAACAGTTCATCTAATTTCAGTGTGATCAAAATGGAGCAGCCAAATGCAGTCTCATTCAGCATTCAGTGTAGGATGTGAGCACCTACTATGAGTCAAGTAGAAACTGTCAGGATACCAAGAAAGGATGAGGAGACAAATAGAGATTATTATAATACAGTACAGTAATAGCTTTAATTGTGTCTCTCTAGGGACAGTGGAGGGAGATGAAGGAAGGGCAGAGAAGGACAAGTATACTGGGGAAGAGCACTGGAGGTGGATAAATGGGAGTGTCTTATATGACCAAGGGTTGAGGACATTTCAAGGAGAGGCCCAGCATATGCAAAGGTACGGGAGTATGAAAATGGTAAATAGGTGAATACAGCTGCAGCACTCACTGGGTGAGGGAGACAGGGAAAATGTGACTGAACAGGTAGACTGAGGGGATATCGTGAAGAGAGGTCTTGTGCAAGTTGCTAGGGTTTTATGTGGTGGAAGGCATAGTACGAATTTCACAAGGTAACTTGAAGCAATTTAGAGATGGCTTGGAGGGAATAGAGACTAGAGGAGTCAATGGTGATTCATAGACCAGGTGAATCAATGGCGGTCGTCCAAAGGAGAAGGGGAGGATGTGAATGCTGCCACTGGGCCTCTGGATGGATGAAATAGGAGTAGATCACGAAAAACACAGGGTCCCAAAGCATGATGAGTCTACTTAAGTATTAACAATACAGATGCTCCTCCACTTCTTAAGGAGTTACGTCCAGAGAAACCATTGTAAGTCGAAGATATCTGATGATGGGTTTATCTGGGCATAACTCCATCTTAAGGACTTTTCTGAATGTGTATTGCGTTTGCACTCTTGTAAAGTAAAAAAATCCTGAGTTGAGCCATTGTTAAGTCAGGTACAGGCTGTAATTGTGTTCTTGTAGTGTACTACCCATTACTCCAGAAGAAGTTGTATTACCTGTTCGTGGGGCCGAACTAACCTTTCTTCATAGAAACACTTTACCTGCAGCCTTTTCTTTGAACCAGGTGGTTTGATTGTACCTGAGGACCTGGCAGAGTGGGAAGAGCATGGAGTGTGAAGTCACTTGGGTCTCAGTGGGAATCCTGGCCCTTCTGCTCATTCCTGTGTGATCCTGGGTCAGTTTCCTATCTTTTCTGAAACTTAATTTGCACTTTCCTCCACCTTAGCCACACATTCCATTGGTCCTATCTTAGATTTTTTTTTTTTATCACCTCTAACTGCTCACCTCTGAAGTTTCCATTTCGTAACCCATACACTCCTCTCTGACCACTCCCTTTTAGCCTTTCACCTCACTCACTTTACTGCCTCTACTACAGAGGATCTTAGACCTCACTGAAGCCTCCAGTCCCTGACCCAAGTTAGGGTAAGGTTAAACTGCTATAGCTAAAAGACCCTATAATGCAGTGATTAGTCAAGACAGGAGTTTTTTTTCTCTCTCTCTCTCAGGTCACAGTGCAGGCAAATGTTAAAAGTCAGTGAGTGGTTCTGCCACACACAGCCTGAAGGACCCAAATATCTTTCATCCCGTTTCTTTGCCATTCACTGTGGCATTGTCCCGGATTGAGACAGGGAGAGGGTGAGTATGGAGAAGACTCTCCATTAGGAGCACACATCACTACTCCTCATGTTCCACTGGAGAGGTCCTCACCATATGGCCACATAACAAGCAAGGGAGCTTGGGAAATGTAGTGTGCCTGGCCAGCTGTGTGCTGGGTAGTCTTGCATTCAGAAGAAGAGATAATGGGTTTTGGTGGACCACTAGCCTTTGCTGGGATACCAGCATCTTCACTAGCTGTCACCTACCCTCAGATCCTGTCGTCTTTCCTTACTCAGCCTAGGTTGCATGATCTAACACCATAATCACTTACTTAACTTCCTTGTTATTCTACCTCCTTCATGTAAATTCTGAAAACTCTCAACTCTGTACATATCTCTCTCTGAACAGTTGGAAATAGCTGCAGAAAAATCATGTCTATTTTTTTTTTTTTTTT